ACTTGACTTCTCCACATTAACGAAGATATCTCTCCATAAACTATCTTAGCTGTTCCAGCGCAAGTGTACATTCCCAAATCACACATCAATCAGAATACAAAACTTTGTGTCTCCATTTCCAACGCTCCGCCCTACGGAAAGATTATAACATCAGGTTTGAACTATCATCAAACCTGACTGCCATAAAAATTGGCGACGTCCCGATGATTGCTCGAACCCTAACAGGTCCAATCGCCATAACGGCACAGGTGGTCACCGACGGATTCACGCGAGTGACCAAATCGGGTTCTATTTTGGTTTGTTAGTCCTTCATAGTCTCAGACTCAGAAGGGACTATAATAAAGTTCTTCAATTGGTTTTACTAGATTGGACCTGCAAATCTGGGGCGCTTTACAAGAATTGGCAGGCACTCTTATTTCTAGAACCCGCAACTCGAGCTGGATTTCAACTCTTTGACAACTCTGGAACAGCAAAGATCTTGTGACATCGTCGACGATTCGAAAAATGTAAACATTGCATTGACTTACACGCCACCCGCGGTTTCTCCTGCGCTCCGGCTTACTGGAAATGCAGATGCAATACCCACTCAGAAACGAACGGTAAATTCCTCGCCAGATCTCGGAACTGTGGAGGATCTTAAGGGTTGGATTTTCGGGACTGTCTTGCTAGATCCATCAAGACCCAATCTGTGACCATAGAGATTAGCGAAGCCGAGCAACGGAGGTTCCTATCAGCTTTTCGCGCGATGGCCACAGCTACAAAAGCAAAAAATGCAATTCTTATCCCTAACAAGGACATCTCCATGATAGAGGAATTGGGCTTTGGAGTTCTAGAGCCCGAAGAAGAAGCTTGAGGACATAACGACTTTGATGAAACCTTTTAGGCTTCACTAACATAGAGCAAGATACTAGCTGGATCAAGACAATTTGCGAGCTCATCTTCCGCTCTCAGCGAATATCAGGAAAGGTCATCTGTAAAATGTGACGGGAAATGGAACGAGAGAGAAGCACAGGATCTTGACCAACACAGAAATTCTTGTAATTTTGATTGCAGTCATGTCGTTAATATCATCCCCTTTTGAAGTTAACTTAGCTAGAATGAGATGAGCCTGTAAACAGTGATCCTCGTCGACTCCGCCGGTCCTGAACCAAAAGTGGGCTTCAAAAAAGTCACGATCCTTAATCCATCATGTGGAGGGTGTAGGCATGACTATGTTTGATCATATACAAAAAGTTCAACGATAATCATTATGAGAAAGCAGATTTCTCCTCTTGTAACTCTGGATCTTTTGTTAGAGACAATGGTACAAGGAGAAAAAATTGCTTGCAATGGCGTACTGATCTACTATATGAAGGCAGAGATAAAAGTTCGGATTCCTGTAATCTAAAATGACAGGTTGGATTGGAACTAGAGCAGTAAGGAGAAACAATGAATACAGAAAAATGATTGTAATCGGAGGTTGTTTGTAAGAATCGGATTCAAATGTATACACCAATGTAAATTTCCATTTCTTCTTAAAATGTTCCAGCAAAAACACCATTTTTGCCAGAAAGCTGCGCAGCCTTTCACGCTGCCCGTATCTTCAATTTGTTATCGTAATCATCATTATTTCACCATCATCACCCTCCTTCCATCTATTCGCTTTCCGTGCTCCAACATGTCGAGTGTGGGTGCTGGTGTGAGTAAATCCAGCGGTTTCGACGCGTCGCAAAATGCGACAATGGCCTCAACAACAGCAGCGGAGCGCAGACAGCTCCAAAGGATATAAACCTCGAAATCAAGGGCAAACTATCAAAACAGGTTAAACTGATAGTGAAGGGAGAGATGGATGAGGAGGACCTACCCTCAATGGAGGACGTGAACGAGGCAGTGAGGGCCGTCAACGCGCACAAAATGGCCTGGACGGAAATGTCCCTGAAGAAGTCTCCCATCGAGAAGAGGATGATGGCTCTTGAGGAAGTCCTCAAAAAGAGCCTCGCAGATCCCGCTCGAAAGCTACTCCAGCGGTGGTGTCGGCGCGCCCGAAACGAAAGAGGATCGCGTCGGTCGTGGCTCCTCAAATGACGAAAACAGTGGTACGAATAAGAATCGACGGCACTCAAAACTTGCAGCTACAAGAGCTGCTTTCAATGGCAAAAGAGCACATACAAGGTGCATATACGATTCGTCAAATGCGGAGCAACGATACTGAGGTATTCGTTCAGTCGGCGTCCCAGAAAGACGCGGCGCTAAATATGCGACAATCAACGGAATTCAAAATTCTGCGGCAATATTTTCCGGTCGAGGTCAACGGTCTCCCATTGCGGACACGAATTGAAGGCGGCAGAGATGCCAACAGTTTTGCCATCATCAGGGAGATAGAGACGGCTACAAAAGCACGGATTCCAGGCTTAGTCATTAGTCGTATAGGGTGGTTACACGACGGAAAGAAACACCAGCGGTGGAAGAAAAATGGCCGCACTCGTGGATCAATTGTGGTAAGCCTCCCATCGAAGGTAATGTAGACGGAAGTGGTCCGAAACGGCCTTGTTATTAACGCCATGCTCTTCACCGCGCAGGTATGGTCGCCACGGGCTCAGCCAAAGCAGTGTTACAACTGCAGCCAATGGGGACACACGCAGGCGTCGTGTGGAAAGGCAGCCAGGTGCGGTGAGTGCGCTGGCGCTCACCAAACTCGGGACTGTCCGAGGAAAAGGGTTTCTTGTGCCAACTGCGGCAAGGAACATCGTTCATGGCAGAAAGCAGCGTGTCGGACCTACCAGGTTTATAAGGGAAGTGTGGAGAAGGCTAGGATGGAGCTGTTATCAAGAACGGCGGAAATATGGAATGAAAAATGAACAATGGCACCAATACGAACAGTCGGAACAACTGATAATGAGGGATTCACTTTGGTCACCAGTAAGAAGGCTGAAGGACTCAAAAGAGGACCGGGACGACCACGCATGGTGGTCGAAGCCCCAGCGGCACCACCATCGGGGCCGACTCTTCAAACACTTCGTCGACCAACAACGGGTAAGGGGGTGCCTTCTCTTTTCAATTTCTCAAAACTTTAGTCTGATTGAAGGGGAAGTTAACGAATTCTGGGGAAAGTTTATAAATTTGTGGTTGAAAGGAATGTCCTCAGCATTAAGCCGGGTCGGCTCAGAGGGGTAGGATATCGGGTTTCGTTTGTGAAAAGCTTTTTCCCCTACCAAAGCGGCTTACTGTCTTCATGGATCTGCATATAGATACCGCATAGGACGTTAAACCAGAGAAATGAACGAATGAATATGTTCCAGCATATGTAGCTAGCCATCTAAATACCATCGCTTATTTAGTGTGTACATGTGATAAATATTTCCACGAAAATTAAGTTTATACCAGTATACCGAGTGAGTGAGTGAGTGTTTATTGTCCTATTGATTCTATAACTATGTTAGGAAATGTAGGTCCTTTCTGCCTACAGGCCGGGAGCATCTATGCCTCGGGTAGTGTACTCCCTCCTATGCCTCCTTCACGACTTCTTTCCAGCTGTAATACCCCCACAGGTCTTCATTCGAGTACACACTAAGAGGAGCCGTTATCTCGTCATTGTCTCCCCTCTCTAGTCAACTAAACGATGGCTATTTGCGGGTGTGTAGCTGCAGGGAAAAGTCTCAAAAACCACTGGGTGCGGGACTCTCCTATGACGAAGAGGCCGGCCAGCCGGGCGCAGGAGACCTGTGTATACCTAAGAGCGTCTCTCAAACTTCCTAGCCTCTTCTTCACTCCTACCTTGATTCATGCCGCACGACAGACCGAAGGTCAGGAAAGGATGCCAGAAATGTCTCGGTCGAGAGTGACTGCCGTGAAGGAGCCTAGCCTAGCATCCAAAAGTCGTTGCGGACATGGGGTTGTCGAGTAACTCATGTATTTCAGATGCCCTCCCAGCTAATAGATTTGGAATTAAAAGTTGTAAGGTAAGATATAATTGACGAGTCGAAATTTGCTTTTCTTGATGTCGGATGGGTCTCTTACTTTGCTTTCGTGGGCTTTTTGTTTGCCCGCCGTTTGGCAGCACATGTTGCAATCAAACAAGGGCTTCTCTAACTACCATTGTAGAGTTTCGTACCGCATAATCTCTCCTCATTCCCAGCATCATTATCGTCGTCTACGTCGTCTTCTTCGTCTTGTAATTTATCGGAAGCGTGTCTTTGACGGAGGAGTTGATCACTCAGCTCAATGTTGAAAAGGTGTGACTCTTCCTTGGCTCTGCAGACTCTACAGTGAGAGCTGGAGGTTCGTAGGGGACACTACTGACAGGTTTTGAGAAAAGTCCCTCCGGAGTAAATAGGAATGTAGCCTGTATCATTTGATTGATAATGATTAATGTCTTTATCAAGTTCCACTGTTACAAAGCCTACACATTGCAGTGACTGCGCGTCATGTTGTTCAGTTCCATTGCAAAGGATATTGGTATTTCCACCTAGCGCTCCATTATATCGCCACTGACAACGCTTACAACAAGGTTATTCCAATGTCATAACAGCGCAGTCGGAAGTTGTTCATTTCGGACCAACCGTCTGTTCGCAAAATTACAAGTGAAAAGTGAAGTGTTGACCGAGAATCTGTAAGTGAACTTGGGTCAGATATCATACCACTGCACCATGCTGCCCAAGCCCCCAACTGTAGATACTACTCGTCCGGCCCAGCTCAGACTGTGTTCAATTAGCCAAAAAGTATTGTGACTTTATAAGCAGGCTCTTTATTTAAGAGGAGATAGACAACTTCTTCAATAGACTTTCAGATCCGGTTCTTAGGGGAGATAAGAATGTTAGTCAACCTGTAAATTGTATTGCTCAAGAGCCGCGCCGTTTTGCCCATGTCCTGACGCCGAGGCTTGCCTCGCGCTAATCTCCAAAGAGATTAGCCCTTAGAAGCGAGGATAGACTCCCACAAAGATTTTGGAATTAAGCAGCCTGAAGCGATCCGCCAGAACTTCGCCATAATCCAGCCTCACGACAAATTCTCATCAATCAATCATGGCTGTTGGAAAGTAAGTTATTTTAAACCCCCACCGACGAGTTACAGCAGGTCAAAAATGCGCAGAAGAGGCTCAGAACTTAGCATAAATTGAGCGAGATCAGGTCTGATAAGAGTACAGGAACAAGCGTCTCTCAAAGGGCAAAAAAGGTCTCAAGAAGAAGACCCAAGACCCTTTCACTCGAAAGGACTGGTATCAAGTCAAGGTAAGCAGGTTCTCTAGTCTTTTCGAAGACCCTATTAACCTTTTCTAGGCTCCCTCGTCGTTTCAGATCAGAGAGTACGCGCATTCATTCCTTTCGCGAATTTGTGAATAACCCAAGTTTCAGTGTCGGCAAAACTCTTGTTAATCGGACAACCGGTCTTAAACACGCCAACGACGCCCTAAAGGGCCGGATATTCGAGGTTTCACTTGCAGACCTCCAGAAGGATGAGGATCATGCATTCCGCAAGGTCAAGTTGAGAGTCGACGAAGTTCAAGGAAAGAACTGCCTAACCAACTTCCACGGACTGGACTTCACATCCGACAAGCTTCGGTCGTTGGTGCGAAAGTGGCAAACACTGATCGAAGCAAACCTAACCGTTAAAACAACGGACGACTATCTTATCCGTCTCTTCGCTATCGCTTTCACCAAGCGGAGGCCGAACCAAATCAAGAAAACCACCTACGCTGCATCTTCGCAAATTCGCGCCATCCGAAAAAAGATGATGGAAATAATTCAGCGCGAAGCTTCCAGCTGTACCCTCACACAACTCACCGCGAAACTTATCCCTGAGGTGATTGGACGGGAAATTGAGAAGGCCACGCAGGGTATCTACCCTCTTCAGAATGTATGTCTCCCCTCCACTTACTTCCCCCATCCATATCTCATTGTCCCATAGGTACATATCCGAAAGGTCAAACTCCTTAAGGCCCCAAAGTTCGACCTAGGCGCCCTTCTTAACCTACATGGTGAATCGAGCACGGATGATGCTGGCCAACGAGTTGAGCGTGATTTCAAAGAGCAGGTGCTGGATTCCGTGTAAGAAATTGTTGCGTAGGTTGGTACTGGGAGAGTATTTTAGCAATAGTTTATTCCTGTCGTAAAGATGCAAATGCCAAGTTCTGACTCCGAAACAAATATTTTGGAGGCCCCTCTTTCCCTTGTGAAACTTGAACCGTCCTGCCATGCGCTCAGGACGGCTCGGTAGACGTCGATAAGCGTGACATAGCAGGAGACCGATGATTTCAAATATTCTACCTCAATTTTACTAGTAATGCGATACTAATTACAACGCTAAAACCCTCGTATGCCTAACCATCTAACATCAACAAGATGGCATCGGACGAATCACTCCCAACCCTTAAAATTCTCCTGATTGGCGCATCAGGCGCAGGTAAATCAGCTTGTATGCTCTCCTCTTCCTCAAGGCCCTTTTTTCGAACAGTTCTTTAACCACGAGGTAGTACTTGTTCGTTATTGCAAAGACCAATATGACCACGAATTTTCTACCGCTACCATTGGTGTCGACTTTGAGGTAACCCTCCCAACTTATCAGTTTCCTCCGGCTTTCATATAATCAGTATACTAATGTGGAAGTTCAATAGACAAAACGTGTAGCAGCCGGAGGCAAGCCGTATCGGCTCACGCTACTCGACACGGCGGGCCAAGAGCGCTTTCGCTCCCTCTCCAAATCCTACTACCGCAATGCACACGGTATCATGGTTGTTTACGACATCTCTAACCGCCAAAGCTTCCTATCTCTCGATAGCTGGTTCGAGGAGGTTGCGGAAAACGCAGTGCCGGGCGCTATTACTTACCTCGTCGGCTGCAAGAGCGATCGGGAGGGAGAGGGCTGGCGTCGCGTCAGCGTCGACGAGGGCCGAGCCAAGGCAGCCGAGAAGGGAGCTGTCGGCTGGTGCGAGGTTAGCAGTAAGACTCGCACTAATGTGCAGCGAGTCTTCGACGAAGTCATCGAGGCCGTCGTCCGTGATCACGACATCACGCCCGCAACGGCGTGGCACTCTGGTCTCGTCAATCTCACGGGCGAGGCCCGTGGCTATGACTCTACGTGCTGGAGCAACGTTCGGCGCTTCCTAAATCTGAAAAATAGCGGTTCAGGCAACGGCTGAACCTTACAGCGTGGTAATCCGTTGTATGGCTCGTCCGAATACGCCCTCAACTCGATCATCTCGGGTAGGTCACGGCCCGAGCGTGCTGACAGGGGCTTCCGGTGTTTGCCTAATATCCTTATGGCCCATTCCAATTCCTTCCAACCTCCAAACTCGGCAGGAGACTGGGTAGGCAATCTTTCCATCCTCGTCTGGCGCAAACTGAGCGGCCGCTTACAGTATCTGGACTCAGCAAGAGTGATTCAGGCGCAATTTCATAAGAGCGGGGTTGCCTCGCATGGCTTACTTTATTATTATTTATAGGAGTGGGGCTTTCCGTTATTTTACTTTTATTTGATGTGCAGCCTCTTCGCTTGCTATGACATTTGACTAGTTGCTTGTGTACAAACTCCATATCACACGTGACAAGTGGGCTGCCCGAAATCGGGAATGCAAGTGCATAATATGGTAAGGCGACCCTGCAACCTGAGACGCGATTTTGACGATTCTCATCCTTCAACAGCTGGACATCAACAACAGTGGACTTTGATACCCTATTGTAAGTGTGAGGGCGAAGTAGAATATGGAACAGCTTGAAAGTTGCCATTAAACATCAGAATCGCTAAATTTCAAACAAAGCTGACGGCGAGAGATTTGCCGCGGCTGATGAATTATCATAAGCTCTAGATGCAGTATCTCTTCGACTGATTCATATCTATATTCTTAAGTTGAGGATTTGATTCAATGCACAAGAAACCCTTCTAATATCATATATGCCAGAAATTTTGTAGGTGTGCCCTCGCAAAAGCGGACAGCTTCTCCAAAATAAATATACCACTATGCTTGTAAAGCGGCGTTAAATGTTACACGTCCTGATGGAAACCGGCGTCAGCTCCGCCTGGTGCCTTTCGGCATAGGGTCTCATCATATCCCGTGGCAGTAAAGATTCAAAGAAAGGGACGGTGTTACGAAACTAGGTTACGAGTTGATACAAATATACTTGAAATAGTGGTTGATCAAGCTGCTGAGCTGTTGGAGTTTATCTATAGGTGATATCAGGCTGTAGAAGATATGAGATAAAATTGGTTAATTGATGCCATCTAAATACAGAGTTAGTGCTCTGTTAGACACATGTCTCTCTCGCTAGTCTTTTTTCCTCATGACGACATAAGTTTTCAAATTCAGACAGACTCTTTGATCAAGTTAGGGGGACTATTCTCAACACCTGTCAGTGGTGTCCCCTACGAACCTCCAGCTCTCACTGTAGAGTCTGCAGAGCCGAGATTGAGTAACAAAGTCCTCACTTCGACGAGGATTCCCAATCGCTTGCGCGGTCTGTATCGTCTTCATCTCTCAACACATCCCCCTATCACCATTATCATGAAGCTAACCACGATCAGATCAGATGGTAGGGTCGGAGCCCTACTCGTCACCCACCCTTGATCATGGAGGAAAAGCCATCCGATGAGTTTCCGGAGCGTACCCAACACCCGATACGGAGATGGTGGATTGGATCAAGTCGACCTCGACTGTTACAAAGAAGGGAGATATAGATGAATATGCGCACCTCATGTGGTCCCGGTGTCTAGGCCTCGCCTGGCTGGGGCTGCAGGTTTTTTGAGACTTTTTCCCGCGCACGCAGTTTCCATTGCTACCATTTTTATTTTTTTGGGTAGAAGGTTCCGTGGAAAAGGTGGCTGAATTCCACGGGTAAATACTGAGCTGAATGGCTATTCATCAAGGGGAATATATCAATGATCTTTAAGTAACAAAAGAGGATAGGAGCACTGTACAAGGTGTGGCCTGGGTCAGAGAGGAGCCCAATGTGCTAGATAGTCATAGACTCAAGTAGTACAATAAAAACACACACATACATACATACATCTTTGATCAAGTTGCATATCAAATTGACCGCATATGACCTCAGCTTGTACATATCTTCTCAGACTTGGGCGCTGGTAGGCATTATGAGTTCCTTTTGAGCATGGCATTTCAGTGACTAAGTTGTGCTCGTTGATTCGCAGTGATGAGGTACCACATGTAGGGAATATGTTGTATATCACGGATCTACCGTGTACTAACTCTTCTGGATTAGGCTCATGATATTCAAAACAGACGGCCAGTATGTCGAATCAATTCTACCGCCGACAGACCATTGAACGTATCGTGAGTAGAGCTAGCAACTGTATCGTCCTGTACTTATGGCGAGGAACACAAAAGGGATGTACACTTTTTTTGCCAGTTGAAGGATTGGATAATTCTTTGGGAATAGCTCTGCGCCCTCGAAATTCACCAACACTTATTTCAGCTTTTACCGAGCCTTTGTGGAGCCCTGGAATAATTCCGTTACATCGAACACGGCCTAAGTAAACGGCATGATTGTGCACGTACGACGCTTCGCTCTCTGAGGTTAGGTCATTGAGGCTGTAGATGAGTTATATCTACACTCATCTTTATTGCCACTCATACCTTTGGATGGCGTGCACCACCAACCCATGTTTCACCAGTCCAGAAAATTTGAGACCACACCTCAGACTTTCAATGGAAATCTATTTCTCCTCCCTCATATTCCCTTTCGCTTCCGTAATAGTCGGCAAATTTGGTCATAGCAAGTAAAAATTATCTATCTTAAAGGGCGTCAATTGGAGATGCCAACAGGATCACAACTAGAGGCTCGGGCGAGCTAATCTGGGGGAAATACCGCAGAGTCTTAGTTTTTTCGTGGTAAGGTGTCATTTAGCAAAGATACATGGTATTTATCCATCAAATGTATGAAGTTTGTTGATGGTGAGATGAACTTGGACAAAGCTCCCCTGGCCCATGAGTCCGTATTGATTGATCTCATGGAGGCTACTGGCGGGAATTTGGTGCGTGGTGGCCGAGTCTGTGCAATATTTCATTATATTCGGCGTCCCTGACTGAAAAACTTATTCTTTGGTCTATTTTTCTGAGCAGCTAGACTGATTTTGCACAACTCATGCATGTTATATAACGGGGCTCTGGTCATTTTTATATACAATTTAAATGTATTCAGCTATCTAGCTATTACACATGATCGGTGCTGTATGTTGAAAGAGATAGAGGATCACTTAAATCAGAGCATAGAAGAGTGAATTGATTATTTGTTTATGTATAAAAAGGTATCAATCAAGATCATAAAAATGTCGTAAGAATATAATTATGTACATCAGTGAGAAGTCGTAAGCAGTCATCTATACGTTGTGTACTCTTGTCTTAGTACTAGAGCCACACTAGTACCTGTTCATGCAAATCTTACAGGGGAGATGGGACAAAAGTGTAAATATGGGGTTGTAGGGATTGCGTTGGGAACCCTTACGTAATGAAGGTAATCGTTACTAATAGGATTATACTTCATTTTCCAACACTAGACACACAAGTTGGATGGCTCTTTAGACATTTGAGACACTCATACTTTGGTGTGAGTGACTGTGTTTATTATGCTACTTGAGTCGATGACTATCTAACACATTGCACGCTGCTTCTACTCCCTTTTGTTGCGAAAATAACACCTCTGATATAATGTATGTAATTAATAATCATTTGGCTCAGTTATCAACCGCAGAATTCAAGTTTTTTTCTATGGAACATTGTTCCCAAAAATGAAGATAAAAGAGTAGCAATAAAAACTGCGCATAGAGAATCCCGGATTCTTAGACCTATTGATTAGTTTGTTTGATTGTATATTAACGTGCTAGGGAATTGGTACCCTGCGCACCACCATAGGAGCTTCACACAACAAAGCCTTTACCAACCCGCTGTATACGCACCGCAGCGTAGAACACTCCTCAATCACGCGCCAGACACGCGATTATCTACTGTTCAACCTTCTCTGATTTGCTCCTTGCCATGCCGCCCCAGTCCTCCGCAGAGGCTAGCTCTTGGCCCCCCCTCCCACCCGTAGTACGACGCGTCCTGACGTCGAAATGGTCCTCACAGGGTCACCTAACCACCACTACAACAACACACAAGCAAACGCAGAACCTATCTGCGAGGCGAGCTGCCAATACTCGCCCCCAACCCCCCCCGAGTCAATGGGTGCTTCCTTGACTACCTTCCTCGCAGATGAAGCGAGGGCGTTTAACATACGCTTTGCAGAGGCTGAGCGTATTGTCAGTGGGTACATTAACCTACTGGCGGCCACAACCGACAAACAGCTCCGACGAGCTGTCGAAAAGAATGGAAAGGCTTTACAGGCCATTATCACAAACATCCTGCGCGGAAACCCCGAGCCCCAATCCAGTAGGCCATCAGAGGCTGCCAGTAGCAGCAAGACGACAACCCTCCCTGCGTCGGCTACTAGGCCGGGAGGAAAGAATAGCGCGAGCACTTCACGACCAGTGCAAATACTTACGAGAGAAAGCAGCCAGGCGAAAGGCAAAGAGCCGGCTTCGACAAAGCCTACTGGGCCAATCGACATCGATTCTATACAAACCCCCATCGTTACTGAGGGGTCTTGGACTCAGGTAGTGAGGAAAAAGACTAAGCCCGCACCACCAGCAGCGACAAAATCGCAACCAGCCAGCGAGCCTAAGTCAAAAGCGACAGGGCCCACATAAACTCCGAGGCCTACTGCCTCAGCTCCCAAGTTAGCTCGCCCAGACGAGCGTGTTTTCCTGCGGGTCAAGCCCGACCACCCATGGAGACGCATGTCTCCTCATTACATCAAAATGAGCCTCGCAAGCAAACTGCGCTTATCTAACTCTGCAATTAAGCAGGTTATCATCGTTAACTCAGGGTTTGCGATACTAGCTGAAGGAGACGGAGCAAGAAACGCGCTCCTCTCAAACGCCGTACTCCTGGAGAGCACGGAAATGAAACTGAAAGCTGCTTCCAACTGGATCTCAGTGTTGGCGCCTAATGTACCAGACAGACTCTTCACTTTAGAAGGACCAACGCCAGTAACATCGGAGATGGTAATGGAGGAAGCGACCTTAAAGTCAGGCGTTAGACCGACCTCGGCTCGTGCCTTTGCGACAAGCATGGCTAGGCCGTCCACCGCC